GATATTTCCTGGGGCTTTCATCAAAAGCCTGGCTCGGCCTTTTTCAGATGAAATGAAAGAAACAGCGACTCATATTTTCTTCCGGCGCTTACCAGTACAGTTTTTTAATTCACAGGTGCTGTTTATGTTGCCGGGTGACCTGCTTACTTTTGATGCAATTTATGAAGGAGATGCGAACAATGGGCGAAAATGTAAGTTGCTTCCGGTGAGCGTTGAGACACACGACCCGGTCTGGTGGGTAAACGGTTCAGGGGTCACTAAACGCCGATGGTTCCCCACCCTCGTTAGATATTTTGAATTGGTCATCGTTTAACGTCGTCCAATCAGAAAAGGGCAATCAACGTGACGGTTTCTGGCTGGCACATGCCAATCTTGCAACGCATCCCAGACGCTTAAATACTGCGGGATTTTGATTTCTTCGAGGGCTAGCTCCGATCCGTTTGGATGGATTTTCGATTGGAAGGTACGAGGAGAATCGTGCATCTTTGGACCTTAATGCTGCGAAGTCTGAAAGCGGAGCGATGCGATTTTCGGGGTCAAAATCGCTCGGGCGCTTGAACCCTTTCAAAACAAGGCTTTAACCCTTGTCCGTCTTCAATGCATTACATTAACAACGAAATCAGACTTATTCAAAATCGCTCAAAAAAACTTTTTTGAGGGAAAATAACGACTATGCATCACAGGTAAAGTAATTCAACGTTTATTTATCAATGATTTATGTACATAGTCAGCAATATATCACTCTAGGTGAGGCAAACGGTAAATCTGGTACATTCACAAAAAAACAACGGTCGGCTACACAAACAGATTGTATGTGGACCCTGTGGTAGCACCACATGCGTTAACAAAGAAAGTCGCTAAAACACCGTTAAAATGACCATTGGCGAGGTCTTTGTTTTCGTACTCTTAACGACCGTCAGAATCTATTTTAGCAACGAAATACAGTGGAAATCGATTATTTATTGTCAGAACCCGAGTCATTTTTTCCTGTACAGAACGCTTTCTCTGTTATTCTGTCACGCAATGCTAACTATAAATCAAAGGCGGCTGGCGATGGAATTCTGCCTGCTGTTCCAGAATAATAATATGTGTGGTAAGTTTACCCGAGGAAACCCTCGAGAATATCAACACCAAATTGGCTCGCATAGCGAAACAGAACAAACAAGACGGGCCGTATAATAATACGGGCAGTGTAGTAATGGGAAGAAACGCGTGAAGTGTAATGTAGTATATTACTAAGCGTTGGTGCTGTTTAATGTGCGTTTAAATTGTAATTTCTACGGTTTTCTGTTTACTGGGTCTTCGTTTTCGTTCTACGAAAACAAAGGACCGGGGGTCTTCGTTTTCGTAGTACGAAAACGAAGACCGGGTCTTAGGTCTTCGTTTTCGGGGGTCTTCGTTTTCGTAACATCCCACAGTAGCCGGCGCTTGAGCCGCCTGTGATAAACCGGCGTTCAAGTTCTAGATTGCCGATCTAAAGTTGTGAGAGCAACGTTTATTTTACAACCTACGTTTTGTCATTTGAAAACAGCTTGGCGAGAAACGACTAGTCACAGACATTTGAATAAAGCGGCGCTCAAGTTCGTTTCCCTCGAAAGAGAAGGAGCTAAAATGGACGAGGAAAATCCTGCTATCGTACGCCAAACTAGACGAGCAGAGTAAAGTATTTTTTTGTTCCCGAGGAAATTTTATCCAGATACAATTTGCATATCATGACAGCTAAATGGGGGAAAAAACACGAATGTTTGTTTTGTCAAAATTTGGAAGCCTTCGTGGCAAGACATTAGGTTCTTTTAAAATTGGCGAAAATATGGCGACTTGCAACAATTTGGCAAGTTTTTTACTCATTTTACGCTACTCGTTGACAGATTTTTCACTTAAACCATTAAAAAAAGCTCTAATGCGACCTGGGCCTCAGACAACTGACCGCTTAAAAAGACTAAAGAGGGTGATCGCTTAACATGGCGCCGCTTGATTGAGGTTCGACTATCGATGAAATTTCAATTCAATCACGCTAAGATGTGGACATTCATTTTATCAGAATCTCTTAATTATTCACCAGTACGAATTACCGTGTGACCTAACAAGCGAAGAACAAGCTATGTTAAATAACATGAACGCCGCGTCGTCAACTTCGGTCACTTTTAGCCTGAAATCACAATCAATTAAAAACAGGAAAGAGGGAACAGGAAACGTAATACAGGTATTTTTAGCCTTGGTGTGCTATCTGCAAAGTTAAAATTTGAATGTGAATGAGGAGCGCATCGGCTTTTTCGGTTTTCTTAGGTTTATTATTATTCCTATTATTATCATTATCTTTCGCATAGGTATCCAACACAGTTTGATTCCTAGTTTTAACCTTTTTTTAATTATCTTCACTATTATTATTACAATTGGTTTCATTTTTTTATTGGCTTGTGTGCACTCGACAGGCTTCTTCCTATCACCTCGATCGGTATTATTTTCTTGACCTTCTGTGGTGAAAAATATCTTTCTCTCCGCGCGACCAAATAGGGTAATTTATAATGTCTGTCCGGTTGACAAAACAGCTTTGTTGCTAGATTGCGATACGGCTCCGTATCCTTTCCAAGACAACACTTACTTGGACTATCAGTGTAAACGATTTATTACAAGGCTACTTCCGGCTTTAAACCTTTTCTAAAACATTTTTTTTCGTATCCTTTTATAACCTATTACTAGTAATCATTTGATGTTTAAAAGATCCTGTTTCCTTCTTTGCTTTCTTTTTCGCCCTAGGAAAGAAACTAACGTCAAAAAGAGGACACTGAAATACTGGATACTGCGCAAAAGAAGAGTAGCCCTTGACGAGAGATTGATCGAAGATTGTTCCCCCAGTTTCTGAAAATCAATTTTTTTTTTAATCGAGCCGACTTTTGAGAATAATCCCATCTACTTGTGACGGCTAGCTGTCCACAGTATGCGTTTTAAACTATCTTGTTTGATGAATTGTTTGGTGGTAGTGCCTGTGATCTGTGCACTTTTGCTATATTTAAAATCAACACAAGATACTGAGAACATTTGCTGGAAAATTCTATCAAATTGTAGAATGCGTGCTTTCTCTGATGAGCAGCAAATAACAGAGGAGAAAAATGCAAAAAAGAGGACACCAACAATAGAAAAAAAACGCCTTTTAGATATGAAAAATAACTTAAACGAACCTTTGAAAGTTAATGTAACGAGCTTAGTTCTTAAGGAACTGCAGGAAGGATTTTTTGCCGCGGTCCGTGAAGGCACACAAAGAGACTCGACTTTGGATACCACCGTCTGCGTTTCGGAGCCAACAGTCTTGGAGTGTATGGACATTGGATTTGGTGCCTTGCTATTGGCCACTTTAGATCACGTGTTGTACTGCCGCATGTTGGGAATAGATAAGATGACCATTTTCTGGAAGAACTGTCAGACGTGTTGTGTAAAAGATCCTCAAGAAAATTCCTGGCCAGCTTACTTCGAGCCTTTAAACACTGAAGCTGAACTGAACGCCAAGAAGGTTCTTTGCCTAGGAGGCATTATTGTGGGAAAAGTCCTTGTACGCGAATATGCCAAGTTACCTCGTTTCAATGAAGAAAAAAAATATCAAGCTAAGGGAATCTTGAGAAGTTCTCTATTAGACGTTGGGTTTAGAAAACGGCAAAGTTTGCCAGGTTACGAGGAAGGCGCGATTATAACACCACAACTAAGGAAATGGGTCCATGATATCATACGCGAACATGTTCGACCCCAGGAAAGTATTCAGTCGCGTATGAACCAGTTTTACATGGAACATATGCACGGATATAACATGCTAGGCGTTCACGTGCGTGGAACAGACCACGCAATGGAGATGGAGGAGAAAAAATTACCCGCAATGGAGAAGTGGATTCAAGATGCAGAGACAATATTCAAAACCCTTGAGGAGCCCAAGAAAATATTCTTGGCTGGAGACAATAACGAGATTATTGACCGATTTGTAGGATATTTTGAAAAGGATAAGGTATGGTTCTGACGTTTTGATTTAGTGGTTAAACTTGAAATACAGATTCAAGTTTATTTTGAAGAATGGGGACTCAGTCCGTGTAGTGTAAATTACCAATAAAAAAAATGTAATTTGGTTTTTACGCCATTTATAAATTCAAATTTTCAAATTGCGCGATATGGAAAAATCCGCCGTCTACTGTTTTCTGGGTCGAGTTGAAGTGTAGGGCATTGATTTTTGTATTGGTTTCTTTCGTGCTCTCTCTTTTATCCCCTCTTTCTTTCTTTCTCCCTTCCTTTCTTCCTTACTTCCTCTTTTCTTTCTTTTTTTCATTCTTTCTTTCTTTCTTTGACTCTTCCGTTCTTGCTTCTTTCCTTATTTCTTTCCTTATTGTTTTTTTTCTTTTCCTTGTTTCTTTCATCGTATTAGGTTTGGAACGCAACAAAATTGTGTAGGGTAACCTAATGTAGAATGACACTTCACTCGCTAGGAACAGCAACACACTCCGTTGCTTCGCGTGATCAAAAAAGCAAGTTCCTACAGGAGTAGACCAGTCTGTATTAAACTTGTAAGACCAAAACTTTGTTACATTCCTTTGTTATTCAGGTTGTGTACACCTCAGCCATAAGAGCTAACAAATACCAGTCTCTCAATCCAATCAACGGTCAAGTAAAAGATATCGATCCCATCGAAACTGGTTCCCAGGTTCTCATTGATATACTCCTCCTGGCCAAATGTGGACATTTTCTTCATGCAGAGTCAAGTGTGGCGACTTTAGCGTCTTTTTTCAACCCGGAAATGGAACTTCACTTTTTAGGAAGCCTTGAAGAGAACGGAACATTCGAAGCGGTAAGTAATCAAAAAATCTCAGGTAGGACCATTCCGTCAATACCTGAAGTTTCTTTAAAACCAGTCTCAGACTTTTCTGAAGCTACCATTGCGGACTCTAGTCAGCGGGCTACGTCTCTTTGGCTCTGCTTCACGAACATCTCTGCCTCGCGGGCTTCTTCCAGAGTTATCAAGAGTCGGCCCAGCTTGCTTCGTTTTTCTGGTTTAGTTTGCGAGTGATCTGTCATATTTGTCCAATAATAAAGCATGTCTTTCTTAGCTTATCCTAATGGCTATTTATTTCTGATTAACGGTTTTTTTGTTTGTTTTTTTGTTCGTTTTCGTTTGTTTGTTTGTTGTTGTTTTTTTTTTTGTTTTTATTTTCTTTGTCGTAACTTGTGCCATTGAATTAGGATAAATGTATTGGCAAGAGACCATCGTTATTCATAGCCTGAGGGAGGAGGAAGGATTTTGGGGATCACATTGTTTTCAGCGTGAACGAAGGGGGAATCCGTGGTCGCCATCAGAGTGTAAAGGAGGGGGGGGGGCTATAGAAAATTAACTGCCAATGAGGGGGGACCGTTGTTATAAGAATATTACAGTCTGAGAAAGCTCCTGTTACAAAATGGTTTTCCTCAAGGTATTATCACATTCAACATTAATGATGTCTTGAACAAAAATACGAACAAACCAAATAAATAACCCTGTTCAAGCTACAGTCCCCAAAAAAGATATCTTAGTTGTGTTACCCCACTTAGGTCTTCACAGTAACCAAGTCACGAAACGTCTGAAATCCTGCGTTTACAATTTCTACTCTTTCGTCAATCTCAAGATCATATTCCAAAACACACGCCGCATCAAATCCTTTTTTCCTTACAAAGATAGCTTGAACCGATCTCAAAGGTCCAAGGTTATCTATAAAGCTGGTTGCTGGAATTGTGATGAGTTCTACACTGGCAAAACAAAACGAAGACTCCATCACAGGAAAACAGAACATTTTAACGCCCTAGCTAAAGGTGACCATTCATCAGCCATTGCTGATCGTGTGAAGACTACTGGTCACAACATTAAATGGGATCATTTTGACTTTTTAGCGTCGGGAAAAACTGACTTTCATTATAAAATTAAAGAGACTTTGTTCATTCAAGAACGAAAGCCTTCCCTTAATGTCAATGTTAGTAGTGACAAGTTGTTATTTTAGCCAGTACTTCTCATTAGTCTAGACATGTACTGCTGTAGATTCTTTTAGTCTCAGTCTAGGTTCCAGACCTCTTACATTCATTATATATAGTTTTCAACAATTGTAACCGTTTACTTTTGAAAATGTATGTTGACTAGCATACGAAACGTTAAGTTCTGTATAAAATGCATTGGAATACAATGTTTATCACCGCTGTTTGTCTTGTTTTCTTAATCAAGCTACGATGGCCTAAGAACAAGAGTTTATATGATTACAGAGTCATTTTAGGAGATCATTTAAATTTCATCATGGGAGAACCAAGCCCC